GGCTTCTCCGCTCCGACCACAGCAGAGAAGCCAAGCCTCTTCAGTCTTCAGTCGTCTTCAATCTTCAGTCAACTTCAGTCTTTGCTTCACACCTGCATATGCAAATTAACCACCATAATTGTTTTGTTAATTTGCATATTCACCCTGATTTGCTGATGGGTATAGCAGAGTGACACCAATTTGCATGTTTCTCTTTTATTAGTGTAGACTAGAGGCCCGGTGCACAAAAATTTGTGCAATTGGGGGTAAGGAGGTCCCTCAGCCCGGCCTGTGCCCTCTCGCAGTCTGGGACCCCTCGGTGGTGACCACTTGCTGGCTTAGGCCTGCTCCCTGGGGGATTGGGCCTAAGCTGGCAATCAGACATCCCTCTGGCAGCCCGGCAGCCCTCGGGGGTGTCCACTTGCCAGCGGGGAGCAGACCTAAGCTGCAGTCAGACATCCTTAGCACTGCTGAGGAGGCAGGAGAGGCTCCCACCGCCACCGCTGTACTGGTAGCTGTCAGCCTGGCTTGTGGCTGAGCAGAGCTCCCCACTGTGAGAGCACACTAACCACCAGAGGGCAGCTCCTGCATTGAGCATCTGCCCTCTGGTGGTCAGTGTGTGTCATAGTGACCAGTCATTCCCAGTCTTTTTGCTGTTAGGGTCAGTTTGCATATTACCCTTTTACTAAATAGGATAGAGGCCTGGTGTATGGCCGGGGGCCGGCTGGTTTGCCCTGAAGGGTGATCCGGATCAGGTTAGGGGTCCCGCTTGGATGCCTAGCCAGCCTGGATGACGGGCTGATGGCTGTTTGCAGGCGGTCACACCTCCTTCAGGTGAGGTCACTACTGGGGTGCCTGGCCAGGCTGGGTGAGGGGCTGAGGGCCGGAATCAGGCTGGCAGGCAACTGAAGCTCCCAGCCTCTTTTTTTTTCTTTTTCTTTTATTCTGGGATTTATTTACCTTCTATAGCTGTCACTGGAGCTGAAAGCCAGCTCCAGCTCTGAGGCCATGGCTGGTTGAAAGCAGGTATCTGGGTTTGTTTACCTTCTATAATTGAAACTCTGTTGCCATCACTGGCGCTCTAAGCTCTGAGCCCGCTGGCTGCTGAAAGCAGGTTTCTGGGTTTGTTTAGCTTCTATAATTGCAACATTGTTGCATCCGGAGCTCAGAGCTGGGCTGCGGCAGGCGGGGAACCTTGGCTTCCTCCATCACTGGAGCAAGCAAGCCTCATGTTCGCTTCAGCTGCGTGGCTGCCGGCTGCCATCTTTGTTGGCAGTCAATTTGCATATCTTGCTGATTAGCCAATGGGAAGGGTAGTGAAGTTACGGTTAATTACCATGTTTCTCTATTATTAGATAGGATTACCTAGGAGGAGAGAGAAATGTTCATTTACTAAAGCTTTGGTAAATTAATTATGATACCATATTTTTTATGGTAGTGACTGTACATAATAAAATAAGAATGTATAACTTACAAACTAGAAGTTGTTTTAAATATATATAATTTATTTCAGAGAGGAAGAGGGAAGAAGGGAGAAACATCAACTATGAGAGAGAATGATCATGGCACAACCTATCTTGCCCTGAAATAGTGAGGGGAGGTGGGGCTAGGGTTGAGTAAACGATGAAGAGACATTAGTCCTGGCAGAATTGGGGCCATCCAGGTCCCCAAAGCTCCTCCCTATCCTCACAACAGCCCTGAGGTCACCTCAGAGTAATGGTGGTCTGTCCCATTATACAGCTGAAGAAACTGAGGCTCCAGCGAATATCCTGTTTCACTGTGAAGGCAGTGTCAAATCTACTTTGCTCACTTTTTAAAGTTGATTTTTAATGAGAGAGAGAGAGAGAGAGAGAGAGAGAGAGAGAGAGAGAGAAAGAGAAACATCAATGTGAGAGAGAAACATCAATTGGCTGCCTCCTGCATCCACCCTGACTGGGATTTCCGCAATCTAGGTAAGTGCCCTGACAGGAAATAGAACCCACAACCTTTTTGTGTAGATGAAGAGTCATTGTTAAATAGCTAAAGGGTTTCAGTTTTGAGGATGAACATGTCCTGAAGAATGTTTGCACAACAATGTCAACATTCTTAACACTACTGAACTGTAAACTTAAGAATAGTTAAGGTGGCAATTTTTTTAAAGATATATCTATATTGATTTCAGAGTGTAAGGGAGAGTGAAAGAGAGACAGAAACCTCAATGATGAGAGAGAATCATTGATCGGCTGCTTCCTGCACGTCCCCCAATGGGGATCAAGCCCGCAACCCAGGCATGTGCCTCTGACCAGAATCGAACCCGGGACCCCCCAGTCCACAGGCCAATTCTCTATCCACTGAGCCAAACCAGCTAGGGCAAGATGGAAAATTATATATATATATATAGAGTGGCCAGATTATTATGACCATCTGACGTTTGTAGGCAAATTAGGTATAATTTTGCGCTGAAGTTGCTATACGGCCAGACCAGTATAAATAGGGAAGCAGGTTGTTTACCACGACAATAGAAGTGATTTTTTTCTGAAGATATGGGTAAACAACACGATTTAACAGCCTTTGAACGTGGGATATATATTATTATGAGTGGCCAGATTTGTTCGAACACCTTTGCTGTATGCAGTTACCAAGATAAAACGTCTCCAATTCACACAGGAACACAGGATTGGACAGTCGAGCATTGGAAAAAAGTCATGTGGTCCAATGAGTCACGTTTCCAGTTGCATCATGCAGATGGCAGAGTGAGAATTTGGTGGAAACGGCATGAAAGCATGCACCCCACATGCATGAGTACAAACCTTCAAGCAGGTGGGGGCAGTGTTATGGTTTGGGGCATGTGTTTCCTGGCATGATTTGGGCCTTTAATTAGTGTGGAATAACATCTGAATAGCACAACATACCTAAGTATCGCTGCTGATCAGGTTCATCCTATCATGTTGATGGCATATCCCAATGGAGATGGCTTCTTCCAACAAGACAATGCGCCATGCCACGGTGCTCATATTGAGCAGGAGTGGTTTCAAGAATATGAGGAAGACTTTAGCTTGCTTAGGTGGCCCCCACAATCACCAGATCTCAATCCAATTGAGCATTCGTGGGACAAAGTTAGAAGAGCCATCAGGCAGCTGATTCCACAACCATCAAATCTCACAGAACTGGACAGTGCTATTCATCAGGCCTGGTGTCAGATTCCTCGCATCACCTTTCAACATCTCCTGGAGTCAAGGCCAAGAGGAATCACCGCAGTATTGAAGGCAAAAGGTGGCCCAAAGAAGTACTGATGGGGTGGCCATAATAATCTGGCCACTCAGTGTATATGCTCTCTGAAAGAGACCCACCCAGGCAGCTCCTCTTAAAGGGCCTGAGCACAGTCTTACTCAGAGTCACTCCCTCTGAGCCCTAGCACTTGGGCCGCAGCTTAAAAGGAACCTGGGACATTTAGGGAGGTACCAACTTACCTGGAATCTAGGAGAGAGCTGGAGGGGCAGCTTTCTCCCAGACGGACGTGCTGATAGAGGCCATTGTTCCAATCCTGTGCCCTGAGAGAGAGACAGATATGTGAGAGAGTTGCATCATTTGGTTGCCTTCTACATGCCCATACAGGGGATGGGACCTGCAACCTAGGTATGTGCCGCGACCAGGAATTTAACCTACAACTTTCTGGTGTAAGGCATGATGCTCCAGCCAACTGTGCCACTTGGGCAGGCTGCACAGTTTTTAACTGATACCCTTTGATTGCCTCTTTTTAGGAGATCAATTCTGTCACATAGTAATAAGTGTTAATATCATATTAGGTATTAATTACTAGAATATTATATTTATACCAGAGGCCCAGTGCATGAAATTCATGCATGTGTAGGGTCCCTAGGCTTGGCCAGTGGTCAGGGCTGATCGGGGCCTTCCGGCTGCTGGCCAGGGCCTTCCTGTGTTTCTTGTCACCCCTGGTGGTCAGCGTAAGTCATTTGGAGCAATCAAACTCCCCGTCTCCCGATCAAACTCCTGAGGGGACACTTTGCATATATATAGAGAGATAATATAGAGAACAGCCTTTTATATATAGAGATAATATAGAGAACAGAGAGAGAATTCAGTATTCCCTTCAGCATGGCTGATTGACATTTCTTTTCCTCCTATACAATTAAAGGAACGTTTCTTTCAATCACACAATTTGTTACTGGGAATGTCTGAAGTTTCACATCACTGTCATATTTGGGAAAACATTGATCAAGTTTCTTCCTTTCATAAAAGAGCAGTAGGATTGCAGGTTGTGTCCACACATCACTCGAGCCCTTGCTGGGCTTTGAAAAGGGACGGAGCATGTGAGGGGCCTGAAGGTGGAGCTTCCTGAGCTGTAGGTGGCGAATTTGCTGATGTGCTGAGGCCCTGCTTCTGGGTCCCTCCGAATGGGGTGAGATCACCCTTCACACATCACCTTCTGATGGGGCCTGTGTGCTGTCACTGTCCCAGGTCCCTCAGACCCTAGAAGACCCACACGCATGCCTCCCATGTCCCTACAAAGCTCAGAGCAAAGGGCTTGAATGCTCAAGTTTTCGCTGGGGTTCCACCCCCCAACTGGAGTTGAGTCTAAATTCCTTTTCCTCTTGCCAGCACTTGAGTTGTCTAAAGAAAATGTAAAGTTATCCTTTTCCAGACCCATCCGTGGTTTCAGTTCAAGGGTGGGTCTCCCCCAAGTCCGGCTCTGACCCCAGTGGCCCCCTGGGTGACCTCCCTCTCCACTTACACATCATCTGTAAGGTGATTACTTTCAGATTCACATCTGGACACTCCTCTCAACCTCTGGGGGCCTCAGCATATCCACTGGCAGGGTTGAGTGGGAGGGGGGAGGGAGACAGGATGATTTCTCAGCCCCACCCCCCAGCCACGTCCTGTGGAGGCCAAGTTCCCCTCCAGCCTGGCCACAGTCTCTCCCCCAGGGCTTCCTGTTGGGGCGTCCTAGGCCCCACCCAGAGCTGGGCACTTCCCTCCCTGACACAGGGACCCGGATCTGCTCTGCCCTGCCAGAGGCAGACATGGTGCCCCTGCTACTGCTGCCCCTGCTGTGGGGGGGTGAGTGGGCTGAGGGAGGGGGGCTGGGCAGGTGGGGGATCAGGAGGAGCTGCCGCTGAGCCTCTGTCCCCCTCCCAGGGTCCCTGCAGCAGCAACCAGGCTACCAGTATGAGCTCCAAGTGCAGGAATCGATGACTGTGCATGAGGGTCTGTGTGTTCACGTGCCCTGCTCCTTCTCCTACCCGTGGAGTTTGGGGTATTCCTATAGCAACCTCTACACCTACTGGTACCGAGACTGGGAAAACCCAGCCTATGCTGATCCTGTGGCCTCGAGCAACTGGAATAAACAAGCGAAGAAAGAGACACAAGGCCGATTCCTCCTTGCGGACCCCAGGACCAACGACTGTTCCCTGAGCATCAGAGATGCCAGGCAGAGTGACACAGGACGCTACTTCCTCCGAGTGGAGATAGAATATCCTGAATATAATTACCTAAGATACTTCCAAGGATATAAGTTCCAAGTACATAGTTACCAAGAGAAGATGCTGGATTTGCAGGTGACAGGTAAGACAGGGGCCCAGGAGAGGACCCAGGTACATGGGACCCTGTCTTAGAGCAGGAACAGGACACTGGACACTCCCTGTCCAGGCCTTGGGCCCTGGGTGGTGGGAAGATCACAGGGCCTGGGGAGCTCAGGGGCCCTGAGGCATGAGTCCCACTCAGGATCACACTTTGGGTCCCCACCCCTGGAGCCCAGGCACCTTCCTTTCTCCCCCGCAGCCCTGACAGAGAAACCCCACATCAGTATTTGGGAGCTGTTGGAGTCCGGCCGCCCCTCACAGCTGGCCTGCAGCCTGCCAGGGGCCTGTGAAGGGGGACGACCTCTCACCTTCTCCTGGGCGGGAGTCGCTGTGGACTCGCTGAACCCCCAGACCCGCCGCTCTTCAACACTCACCTTCACCCCGAGGCCCCGGGACCATGGCACCAACCTCACCTGTCAGGTGAAACGGAAAGGGGCCCTGTGGACCACACAGAGAACCATCCAGCTCAATGTTTCCTGTGAGTGTTGGGAGGGTGGCTGTCTTCTTGGAGACAGTGGGAGTGATGTGTGTGTGTGTGTGTGTGTGTAGGAGGCTGAGCTATCCTGAGAACACTCGGGCATGGATGTGCGTGTAGGTGGGGAGGGGGCCAGAAGGACAGTTCTCCCTCCTTCCCGGTTCCCACCGCCCCTCCTTGGGGTTGGGGTAACTTCCATCTGAAGGGGGGCCCTGTCTTTCTCTCCCAGATGCCCCAGGGAACCTCACCATAGGCGTCTCCTTCAGAAATGTCACAGGTAGGAAAGAACGCCTCCTCTCTGGGCTGGGGCCTGCCCTGGGGCCCTGGTGGGGCTGAGGGGGGAGCAGGAGGTTGAATGGGATGAGACTTGGAAAGGGCAAGGATGAAAGGCATCACCCCAGTCCCTCACCTCTGGTGGGTGGGTGCCTGCATCTGTGTTCCACACACACACACACACCTCTCTCTCTCTCTCTCTCTCTCTCTCTCTCTCTCTCTCTCTCTCTCTCTCTCTCCCTCATAACCCGTTCTCCCCGAAGCCTTTAAGAATCTGCAAAACACATCTCTTTCCATCCTGGAGGGAGAGGCCCTGAGGCTGCGCTGTGAGGCTGACAGCAACCCCCCTGCCGAGCTGAGCTGGTTCCAGGGGCCCCCAGGCCTGAACGCCACCCCCATCTCCAGCACCGCGATCCTGGAGCTGCCTCGCGTGGGGCCTGCACAGGAAGGAGAGTTCACCTGCCAAGCTCGGCACCCGCTGGGCTCCCAAAGTGTCTCTCTCAACCTCTCCGTGTTCTGTGAGTGGGGAGTGGACTGAGACCGGAGTGGGGGTGGGGTGGGAGCAGGGGGTGGGGCGCACCTGGAAGTAGGTCACCTGGGTTCCTGGAGATGTTAGAAGCACCGCCGACCCTTCCCCTCACTCCCCACAGAACTCCCGCAGCTGCTGGGACCCTCCTGCTCCTGGCAGGACCAGGCTCTGCTCTGTAGCTGCTCCTCCAGGGCCCAATGGGTCCCCTCCCTGCGCTGGCGGCTGGGGGCGGGGCTGCTGGAGGGGAACCATGGCAACGCCTCCCACCCGCAGTTACCTCCTGTTCAGAGGGGCCCTGGACTGACAGCTCCCTGAGCCGGGGTGTGGGGCTCAGTGAGGGACTCAGATCCAGCTGTAAGGTCAGGAATGTCCATGGAGCCCAGGGCGCCTCTGTCCTGCTGCTGCCAGGTCAGGGCCTGCTGGGGGCAGAGGCCACGGAGAAAGGAGTGGGTTAGAGAGAGGGTGGAGCTGGGGGAGAAGAGGGCTGAGAGAGGGCAGGGGGTGTTGCTAGGACAGGGCCCTCCATCTCCTGCCTGAGCAGAACCCACAGCGGGTTCTGGGCGGAGGAGGGAAGAGGAGAGACTGAGTCCTGGGAGTGGGTGGTGTCACCTGAGCTGGTGCTGGAGGTACAAGCCCTGAGCCCCCCCAGCCCTCAGCACCAGGGCTCCTGGAGCTGCCCCATGTGGTGCTGGAGGCGGAGGGGAGTTCACCTGCCGGGCTCAGCACCCGCTGGGCTCCCAGCACGTCTCCTTCAGCCTCTCTGTGCAGAGTGAGGTGCAGGACAGGTGTGGGGGGCCGCCTGGTCAGGTGTTGGGCTGTGGGTGGACTGACACCTGGACAACACGTCACCCTTCTCCCGTCATCCCCAGGCAGCCCGCACGCCAGCAGATGTGTGACTGAGGAGCAGCAGGGCTCCTGGCCCCTGGTCCTCACCCTGATCAGAGGGGCCCTCATGGGGGCTGGCTTCCTCCTCACCTACGTCCTCACCTGGCTCTACTACACCAGGTGAGCAGGCCTGTCCCTCCCGGGGAAGGTCAGGGATTGGCCCTGAGGTGCAGGTGGGGCCGAGCTGTCCGGTTCTGCCTGGAGTTAGAGCCAAAGTGGCCGAGTCTCTGAGCTGACACCTGTGTGGGCCCCGCAGGTGTGGAGGCCCCCGGAACAGGAGGCAGAGCTCCTGATGGATCCTCCCTTCCTCTCAAGATGGCACTGAGGTGTGGACACCAGGCTAGAGGGACCGTCCTGGGACCTCAATGTCACCTTCTCCCTGGAAGCTCTTGACTCACCTGCCTCCAATGTGCCCCTGGGGTTTCAGTGTGTGGAAGTGACTGAGTGACCACAAGGGGAGTCAATGCCATGGAGAGAAGACTTTTCCTCCTTTCACCTCCTGATAGGAGGGGCCGCTGTGCCCGGGAAGCCCCGGATTTCCTCAGGAAGCAGATGCAGGTGCAGGGCAGCCTAGCGAAGGCCTTGATTGGGGTTTCCATGGGAAACGCAAGGCAGGGCAGGGTGAGCAGTTCAGGCCCAGCTGGTGTGTGTCAGTCTGGGGGATGGGCCTGTGGGCGTGGCCTCTATGTGTCTGGTCCCAGGTCCTGGGTGATTTGGGGCAGATGGGGAGGCTGGGAATACGGGCTCAGGTTGGGTTGGTTTGCATCTGAAATTCTTTGCTGTCTCTGAGAATGGGCGGGCCCTGGGAGGCCGTGTGTCTCCTTGGCTTCCAATCTGCTTAATGGCTCAAAACATCCTAAGACACAGAAATAAACAATAATCCACACCCACTGACAGCCCCCTTGTTTCTGCCTGTGCTTCTCCCATTTGACTTGTTCCCCTCCCGCCTCTGTCTTTCTCTCTGTTGGTTCTGCCCACTCACCCCCCACCCCCTGCTCCTCTCTCTCCAATCTCAGGCCCAGAAAGGGACTGAAGTTGGCACCTTCTCCTCCCCTTGCCCAGGAGTTACCTGGTCACCACCTGAGCTTCTGGTCTCCCGTCTGTAGGTGCTGATACACAGTAGAGTTAGGAGCAGCTCTCTTCTCCCTGTGCATAGACGCCAACCTCAGAATTATTGTTATAAAACATCTCAACATTTAATCATAAATGAAAATGTTTCTGAGATATCATATGACAATTGATTTTACTCTGTAGTGTCTGTGCTAGTTTCTTGAGTCTAATTCCGTCTGGATCTTCTCTTTATTTTGTTGCTGTTGTTGAACTTGTTTCAAGTAGGGATTTTGTTTATTCCTTGTAATTATTATTCAATTAAAATTTATACCTTTTATTTTTAAAATATTTTTTTGATTTCTGAGAGGAAAGGAGAGAGAAAGAAAGAGAGACACAGAAAAATGTCAATGATGAGAGAGAATCATTGATTGGCTGCCTCCTGCACGTCCTCTCCTGGGGATGAAGCCTGTTACCGAGGCATTTAGGCTGACCTGGAATTGCACTGTGACCTCTTGATTCATAGGTTCACACTCAACTCCTGAGCCACACCAGCCAGGCTATATCTATTCATGCATAATAAAAAAATTCAACATTTAAGACACACCCGCTCACCATTTTATGTTATTATGTTCATATATCTTTCATCTATCAATTTGATAAACTTTAGAGAACATTAATAATTACTTGGATGTAGATAATTATTTTATTTCCAGATTAATCGAGATATTTTTTAAATAGAATGCATGCAAGTTTAAGGTATGCAATGTGCATATTTGATGCACCTACATAGTGAAGTGATTACCACAATAAGGTTCATCAACACTTCCATCCTCTCATGTAATTACCATTGTTATGGTTATAACACGAATGATGTATAACCATAACAACTTTCAGGTATTTAATACAATCCTGTTAATTGTAGTCATCATGCTGTCCAGTACATCCCCAGGAATTATTCATCTTGTAGCAGAAAGCTCTGCTTGACCAACATCTCCCCATTTCCTCACCCCCAGTCCAACATCACCATTCTACTCTCTTTCTGTGAGTTCAGCTTCTTCAGACCCCAATGTGAGAACACACTGCAGGTAAACAATGACTATTTAAAAAACTACTCTCAGAGTTATGTTTCTTTCATGCAGTTCTGGGTTTCCATCACAAAATCACTTTCCTCTATGCAAAAATTAACTCAAAATGTGTTAAAGACCTAAAACTAATACCCAAAACTATAAAACTCTTAGAGAAAAACATAGGGGGAGAGTCCATGACATTGGAATTATTTTGGAATGATTTCCTCGATATTTACATCAAAAGCACAGACAAGGAAAGCAAACATAGACAAGTGGGACTGTACCAACTTCAAAACCTGAGCACAAGAGGACACTCTCACCAGACTCCAGAGGCCACCTACAGGATGGGAGAGAAAATCATCTGATGAGGGGTTAGTATTCAGAATATATTACAAACTCATACGAGGCAACCTAAGAAACCCAAATAACACAACTGAAGAATTGGGCAGAAAACTCCAGTCAATATTTCTCCAAAGATGATATTCAAATAGCCAAAAAACTTTGAAAAGATATTCAACATCAGGAATCCTAAAGAACTGCTAATCAAAGCCCTTGCTGGGTAGCTCAGTTGGTTAGAGTGTCTTCCAGTTGGCTGGTTTGATGCTTTGCAGGGCACATACAACAATCAACCAATGAATGAATACGTCAAAACTATAATGAGATATCACCTCACACCCTTTAGGATGGCTACCATAAAGTAAGACCAACAGCCCAGCTGGTGGCTCAATGTTTAATTAAGCATGGACCGATGAACCAGGCGATCATGCTTGGATTCTCAGTGAGGGCACATGCCCAGGTAGCAGGATCAATCCCGGTGTGAGGAAGGAAGCCAAATAATGATTCTCTTTCATCATTGATGTTTCTACCTCTCCCTTCTCCTCTGAAATCAATAAAAAAATATAGTTTTTAGAAACTAGCAGAAGATAATAACAAGTGCTGGTGAGGATGTGCAATAATTGAAATCATTTTGCACATTTGGTGGGATTGTAAAGGGATGTACCAGCTATGGAAAACAATATGGCAGTCCCTCAAAAAAATAAAAATAGAACTACCATGACATGTAACAGCTCCTCTTGAGGTTATATATCCAAAAGAACTGAAAGCAGGACCTCAAAAAGACATCTGCATACCTATACTTATAGCGGCATTATTGAAGACACAATAGTCAAGACGATTCAGCAACCCCAATGTCCATTGATGGATAAATGCATTTAAAAAGGTTCATATGCCTTAGGCTGTTCTGGGTGTTTTCACAAAAGACCATGGACTGGAGGCTTATAAAGAGCAGGGATTTATTGCTCAAAGACCTGGAGACTGGAAGTCCAAGATCATGGTGCTAGCACGGTTGGGTTCTGGCTAGTCTAAATTCAATGAAAAAAAAAAATCTTTGGGTGAGGATTAAGGAAACTAACAAACAAACAAAGAATAAAGAAAAGAGAAGAGAGAGACATTACAAACCCATACAAGACAACATAACACACCCAGATAACACAATTGAAGAATGAGCTAAACCTTGACTGGACATTTCTCCAAAGATGCTGTACAAATGGCCCAAAAAGTCATTAAAAGAGACTCAACATCAGTAATCCTACAGAACCATAAAAGAACTCCTTAGCTCTGTAGGAGTTTTGCTTGGTGCATCCATGCATTAATATTGAAAACCCCACATCAGATTCCTACACGGACAAGGAAGGAATGGTGAAGGAGCATAGTAGGTCCATGATCCAGAAAGTGATGGGGGAAGTGTAGTGATAAACAGCTCCGAAGGTCACACACCCAAAGCCAGCATTAGAAATTTTATGTCATGTGAGTCTCACCTCCACAAAAGTTTCATCATTAGCTTACTTGGAAATCACACACACACACACACACACACACACACACACACACACACAGTTCTCTCTCTGGGATGAATTCTGTGGCCCCTCTTGAATGTGAAAATGGTTGCTTCCTTCCCCCAGTTCTTTCGTGTGGGTTGCTTTAGGATGGGCCTTGTGCTCTGCGGTGAGTCAGCCTGGCCCCTTCTCTCTCTCTGAGGCCCATCTTGCCTGGCACAGGTTATGGGGAAATTTCCTCTTCTGCATTTCTGTCTATACCTTGTGGATTGCAGAGAGAGAGAGAGGGAGAGAGAGTGAGAGAGAGAGAGGGAGAGAGATCAATGTGAGAGAGAAACATAAATAGGTTGCCTCCCATACTTGCCCTGAGCTGGTATGGAAACCAAGGGATGTGCCCTGACCTGGAATTGAACCTGCAACCAATTTGGTGTAGAAACAATGCTTCAACCAACTGAGCCATCCGGCCAGGGCTATCAATTTCCACCTGTAATGTCCTCCCAAACAGATGTACCATTTCCTCCAATGAGGAATTGCATAGTATATATTTGTGATGTGCATCTCTGAATGTTGCAGGAACATCGTACGTTTTGATGTGTCCATGACATCTTTATACCATCCTGTCTTTCGTTGGTCACTGTGCTATACGGATGCATTTGAGTTTTGCAATTTGATTTTGTCTCTAGAAACCTTGCTGACTCTCTTCTCAAGCCCCAACATGCATCTGTATGTACGTGTGGTTTTTCCTATATAAACACAATCCTTGATAGATAAACTCAGCTTGATTTTCTTTCAAATTTCATAGCTTTTACTTATTGCTCTTGCCTTGCTGGACTCGGACCCGGTGCTGCTGCGTTAGGTGTGGAGCTTGCTGAGCTCACCCCCTACCCCGCCAGGGGAGCCTCCTGCATCCCTAACTGACTGTGATGTTATCCTGAAGGCCTTTGACATACCCCGCGCTCACTGGTTCCTCCCTTGAGATCCCATCAGTCAAGGGCAGCGAGGCACACAGAAGCCCCACTATGTGCTCCAGCAGCGGGAATGGAATGTCAGGGTTTGTGATGCCCGGGTTGGGACACAGATGGAGCAGAAAGGGATCCCTTCCCATCAGCCTGGGTGGGGCTCTGAACAGGGACCCAGCGATGAGGGGCCAGGAAGGTGGATTTTCATGAACTTTCAGGCGGCAGCGCTGCTGCTGTGCTGAGGTCCCGACAAATGGGGCGTCCGTTTCCAATGGGGCTTGTGGGCCCTTGCTGTCCCTCAGACACTCAGACCCTCGCGCCAACACAGGTGCGTCCACGTCCCCAAGAAGCCCTCGGAGCCAAGGCCTTTACCACTCAGCTCTGCCCCTGGGTTCCACCCTCCACTGGACTTGGGTCTAAATT